GTAGGGATGCAGCTGTCCGGTCACAAGTGCATCCATTTCATGCGTCATCTACAATTTTCAGCAATTTTATTGAAGTATTCAATTCGTTACAGATGAGCTAGCTACCTCAAGATATTCTTACTGCAGCAACATTCTTTCTGAAAATAGGGGGTCATATTAGCCCTATCTTATTCACATTCTGCTATTGTTACTGTGAGGAAATTCTTCTAAAAAGTTTATGGAAAATGAACTGATTTTCTCCTAGCTGGGCTTAAAGTCATTCTAATTCTTTAATTGCAATTTCTCTGCATTTTTATTAGTATCCGAAATAAATATGATCGACCCACTTTACCATAGGTCGTATTACCCTTTCTACTCGTTCTCTGCCCTATTTTTCTCTCTATGCTCGATTTAAAGTTCGCAAGAGCCAACTGGCGACGCTTATTCCTCGATCCGGACTGGATTCACTTGCTTTACGGTTGGCCACGGTGACGGCTTCTGTCGCAGCCGGGCTAATCGGTGCTGGTACACAGGGTGCTGCTGCCAGATTCACTAGTATGCATCGTAAACTATTATTCATATATTAAGACCAAGATGTTGTGGCCTCTGTTATGGTCGCAGTCTCCTTTCGATTTGCAAAAGTGGGTTGACCTCGTCGCAACTTGGTCTTGTTGTTAGGGAGACTATGTAGAACTCACCTAGTTCGAAGTCGTCTGCCATAGTAGTTGTCATGATTCCCAGCATCTGATAGTGGACTTGATACATTCTCAAACGCATCGGTCTGCCATAGTAGTTGTCTTGATTCCTAGCATCTGACCGTGGACTTGATACATTCTCAGACGTTTCGCCGGCATCGTAGTTGGCATCATCAGTGTGCTTTGCCATTCTCCGAACCAAGCTACGAACTAGTTTTCGGCAGAACGGTTGTCGAGGGATTGACTTCACTTGAATCTTTGACGAGTTCGTAGCTTGGTGCGGAGATTGGCAAAGCTCACTGATGATGCCGACTACGATTCTGGCGAAATGTTTTGAGAATGTATCGAGTCCACTGTGAGATGCTGGGAATCATGACAACTACTATGGCAGACGACTTCGGACTAGGTGAGTTATACTAGGTCGCTTTGACAACAAGACCAAGTTGCGACAATAATCATTTTTTAATAATTAGTTTGACTCGTTTTCTAACATATTTCTGCCGCCTATTTTTTCACCCTCTTCCATATAAATCATATTAGCAATATGATTAACCCTTATTTTTAAATTGAAGATATGAAGAGCAAGATGTTGTGGCTTCTGGTATGGTCGCAGTCTCTTTCGAATTTATAGAAGTGGGTTGACTTCGTTGTCGAAACTTGGTCTTGTTGTCAGGGCGACTTATTAGAACGCACCTAGTCCGAAGTCGTCTGCCATTGTAGTTTTCATGAGTCCCAGCAACAGACAGTGGACTTGGTACATTTTCAAACGTTTCGCCGGCATCGTAGTCGGCATCATCTGTAACCGTTTTCGACAGAACGTTAGTCGAAGGATTGACTTCACTTGTCTCTTCGACGAGTTCGTAGCTTGGTGCAAAGACTGGCAAAACTCACTGATGATGCCGACTACGATGCCGGCGAAACGTTTTTAGGATATACCAAGTCCACTGTGTTATGCTGGGAATCATGACAACTACTGGGCCAGACAACTTCGGACTAGGTGCGTTCTACTAAGTCGCCTTGGCAACAAGACCAAGTTATGACAACGAGGTAAAACCACTTTTATTTTTAAAGCTGGCAAGCTTGCCATATATTGCCTAGTCCATATACATCTAGTGACTAAACGGTTTTCACTAAAATTTGGGCTCAACTACTTGCCACATTGTAGAGCTTTTCGGACTGAGTAATGAGGGCAAACTGTCTAACCAAATATCTTATAAAGAAAGTGGAAGAGTAGAATATGAGGACCCAAGGGGTCACGAGGAGAATTAAGGGTATCGGGTAAAACTGCAATCGATATCAAATTCAGGACATTTCCTGCTAAAAATAACCCTGCATAATTTAAATGCCACCTTCTGATTGGTTCATAAAATATGATCTATGTGGTGGCTAGCATTCGATTGGCCGACGCAGAATGTTTGCATTCTCAAATATTCTAAAAGCGAATATGTGACTTAATTAAGCTAACATTTGCAGTGAATAACTGTACAGACAGGTTACTACATACACCATACGCTTCACACTAGGCCTCATCTCATTAAGGACTGTAAAAAAGAATATATAAAAGGCCAGAATAAGAGTAATTTAAATGTAATAAAAATTGTTTTCATTCATAAAATTACGACTTTGCATGTGTGTTGGATAAGTTAATATGTATGCTACCTGATGTAGTA